TAAAACCTTCTTTATTGTATGCTAATCACATTTGCCTTAACTTAAACATTTTAATGTAAATCCTTACAGCAAGAAACACCTTACCAATGCCACCTAAATCAGCAACATTTCCCACACAAAGGTAAGTATCTTTATCAACAACTTGCATTTGTTAAGTCGGAAATCAGTAACACATCCTTTTTTTTTTTTCAATCTTCAACACAGATTTGACATACAACGAAGGGAAGAGATTCCTCCTCCACCTTTACAAGTAAATGTGATGATGGGGCAGGTTAGTGCAATCATTCACTACCTGTAATCATGACAGGAGGCATCTTAACACAGAAACAATCTGTAAACCTCAGACATGCAGTTAGGCTTGACAACCACAAGATGGCACTGTTGTGGTTTGTTTGACAATGAAGCTAAAAGGAAATTCAACAGTCCAGTCTTGAGCATCACAGAAACTACAAAAAAATCCTACTGTAATAATGAGGGCGACGACATACTAGACAACGCTGTAAAGGCTATTTTTTTGTTATGTACTCAGGACATGGATCCAGAGTGGTATGTGGGGCAAATGACACGAGCAGAGGCAGAAGTCTCACTCAGACACGTGAATAAAGTGAGTTCCACCACTCCCTTCCTTCATCAAAATTGTATAAAATGTGGAATAAATAAGCTTTTGTGAGATAATTATGTGGAATTATTATATGGAATTATAATATATAAAAAAAAAAGATATTTGCCGTGTATAACAAAAAGGGGGAAAAAAATAGAGAAAATAAGTGTATGATGAAATGAAGACACAATGAAGCTACTGAGTGATGGACAAGCTCTTTTTTTTTTAGGATGGCACTTTCTTGGTGAGAGACAGCTCAAAGGGCTGCACAGAGCAGCCATACACACTCATGGTGCTGCACCAGCAAAAAGTGTACAACATCCAGATCCGCTTCCTTGGAAGCAGTGATGGCTATTCCCTAGGCACAGGCCTAAATGGCATTGAGGTAAAGTATCTGTTGATTATGACAGAAATAAAATAGTCATCCGATTTTTGAATATATATTTTTTTGTTTTCTTTTCTTTTTTTTTTTTTTGTAGTATATTTGATACATAAGGCTTTTATGGCTCATATAATACAATATACAGGCGAATGTGGAGCTCATGATCAACACAAATTTATTCAAAGGGCTACAGTAAGTAAAACATGCAATTTGGTGCAATTGCTGATGTTTATATGGACAAAGCTTAAAGGGTTAGTTCACCCACAAATTATGTCATCAATGACTCGTGTCATTACATGCCCGTAAGACCTCTGTTCATCTTCGGAACACAGTTTAAGATATTTTAGATTTAGTCCAAGAGTTTTCTGTCCCTCCATTTAAAATGCATGTACGGTTATACTGTCCTTGTCCTGAAAGGAAATAAAGACATCATCAAAGTAGTCCTTGTGACATCAGTGGGTTAGGCCCCGTCCACACTACTGCGTTTTCGTTTAAAAACGGAGACCTTTTGCTACGTTTGCACCTCCCGTCCACACTAAAACGGGAAAAACGAAGACCTAAAACGGAGAAGTTTAGAAACGCTGCAGCTGCGTTTTGCGTTTTGAAACTCCGGAGGGCGTTTTAGTGTGGCCGAGACAAAACGGAGGAGTTTACAAACGATGACGCAGAGGCTCACGCTCGGCTCTATGATTGGGTGTCATCAGTCATGACGTGTCCTTCCCTGATTCGCCAACCACTGTTTACACCGGCGCACGCATGCCCAGTGTTGGTGAATGGTCACGTGATCTGCGTTTTCAGTCGTTTTAATGTGGACGGAGATCAATTCTAATACGCAGACAAAACGCTGGTGTGGACGGAGATCGTATTCGTTTTAATTCTCCGTTTTTAAACGAAAACGCAGTAGTGTGGACGGGGCCTTAGTTAAGAGTTTTTGGAAGCATCCAAAATACATTTTGGTCCAAAATAACAAAAACTACAATTTTATTCAGTATTGTATCCCTGCTGACATGTGACATGTATTGACTGGTGTGTCCGTGTATTCGGGTTCAAATAAATATTGCTGGGCAAAAAAATGCCCAGCGATATTTATTTGAGTAAATATCGCTAATAAATATTAAACTAAATATTTTTAGTTTTCAACAAAAAACATTTTATTTATAATAAAATGTTTTTAGTTGAAAACGGTGTTGTGTAAACGCCTTCTTAGTTTTATACTATGGGTAAATTTACACTATAATGATGTACAAAAAATGTATGTTTTTTTCTTTTTACAGATTACAATGTTATCAAAACGATCACTGTTATCACAAATCCAAGAAACGACTAAAACTGCTGTATTATGAATGCCAGGCCAGTAGTTGGCGATGTCACTTTGTAAAGAAAGACCACACGCTTATACACATTCGCATTCAAACGTGCATGCCTATAGACTAAACACTACAAACGCGTGTGCATGCCCTCACCGTTTTCAGATTCACATTTTTATAGTTTACATTAAGGTACAGTACCGATAACGCTATAATTTTTTAAAACTTGCACATTGAAACCTGCTTTCAAAAGTTTGCGTTTTCAGGCCACCAAAACGCCGTAGTGGTGTAAATGAACAGCCAAAACCACTTTTAGTTGAAAACAGTATTGCGTAAATGGGCCCTTTAAGGCCTAAAAAGTAAGATACGATAGGTATAGAATATCAATCAGACGATTGAAGGCATGATGATTGTGAGGCCTTTTAGAGGCCTTTGTGTATCTAATAGTAGGCTTCATAGGGTTAAATAAAAACCCAAAGCAACTGTAAAGAGTGAAGTGTGTGTTAGATTATCCACTGTGGTGATTGTTATTGGTTCAGTCATCAATTGACTAACACGTGTGTCACAGAATTTCTCCAGTGTCATGGACATGGTCTCGCACCACTCAAAGACCCCACTGGTTCTGATAGACGGAATGGAGCGTGGAGCTGGACCTCAGCGGCAGTGCTGTCTTATGCACCCAGCAGGTTACTGACCCACAGAACAATCTTAATAATAATACCCAGTTAGCATCATAATTCTGACTGGGTTCCAGTGTCAAAAAGACTTTAATGGAATTTAGACACTTTGTCTAAATAAAGAGCATGCAGCAGGATATGCAGCAGGATATGCAAGAAGCACTCATCTCTCCTTCAGAAAAATTAACAGTCTTCACAAAGTATATGATTCAATTAATAAATCATATTTAGTTTGATTCCATCAGACAGGACTGTCTTAACTTTTTAAACTTTTTAAAATTTTTAAACACTTTCAAATGTTAAAATCAAGAGGCATTTTTACATTCAATGTTAGCTAGTGGCAACTTTACTTATAAACTCATTGTACATTTGTCTGTTTTAACTTAAATATGTCTAATGCTTTTAGCGTTTGATCTTAATATTGCCTGATTAAATTGTGCTGTTTAAGTATATTATAATAAACTCCACCTTACAAGTGTACTTCTTTGAGTAACATATTCAGTCTTCCATCATCTGTGCACCGCTTAACCATGTTGGGGTTTCCACATCAGTCTGGAGGCACGCCATTTTTTCAGGGTGTGTGAAGCACACGGTCAGGTTACACTGCAGCAGCTGGGTCTTCACTGAAAACAAAGGGTGTATTGGTTTAACATACAGCAAGAACACCACAAGAAGAGACACTCTTATTCCATTATGACTGACTGAAACATAACCAGCACAAACAGGTTATGTTTACTGTAATCAAAGCATATAAATAGAAGCATTCTGTTATGTATTATGCAAAGGTTACTGTTAACGTTCATCCAAAAGAAAACAATATTTTACACAGTAATCAATCTAAATTGATTTACTGGATTTTTCAGGGCTTGATAATGCACAAAAAGAGCCATCAACCCAAATGCAGGTAACAAAAGATGCTCAAATACGTATACAAAGATGCTAATGCTTGACTGGATATACTGGGCTCAGCAATCGATGCAGCCAATATGTTTTCATGCCAAACTTCATGGCTCTATGATATAATCAAATTAATTATTATTGGCAGCCCTAGAGGATTCGGGGGATGTTCTGGGTGTCGATGTGTTTGTGTTAGCACTGACGGCGGGCACAGATTAATGTCTTAGCTCTGGCTCCTCGCTAACTGTCACTCCTGGCAAGGATGGCACATTTTCTTATTTTTTATTTTTTCAAGTAATATCCATTTGAAAGCTACCAGAAGAATTTCTGCCAGCACTCTAGAAAGAGGAACTTTAAAACAAAGTACATTTCAGAATTGTCAAAACATGGGTGTATAATTACATTTCACAAGGTTAAATATTAAAGAAAGTAAGGCTGGGACTATTGAGGTCCAACTGTCACCAAGTCACTGAATTATGCTGACAATAATAAAAAAAAAAAATTCAAACTTATTTACCTTCCAATCGGTCCATAAATTCTGACATTAAATCCAACTGCTTCAAGATATAATCTAGGCCAGCTGAGGCTCCGTGTTCACTGTTCTTGGTGGCATTTCCCTCAGACTCCATCTGTAAGTCCATTACATACAGAAGTAAGATAATGATATCATATAATCATTTATACGGTCACTATCTGTGTTAAAGGGATGACACACACACACACACACACAAAAAAAAAAAAAAAAAAAATCTAAAAATTTAACTCACATCCCTTCTTAGAAAAAACAGCATTTTGGAACAAATTTTACAAACCTTGTGATTGTGAAGCTCGGAACAGGGGTTGTAAAATGGTTTAGCAAATAGCAAACAAAATAAATCATTAAACTCATTTGGAAGAACACTGAAATCTGCATACAAACATAATATAATGACCTGAACATTCAGACGTATTTAATGACATTAGATGAATCAGATTCACAATTATAATGTTTGCTTTGTTGATACGTTTATTAAATTTGTGCAAGGTATAATAACCATGTAAAATCACAAATATATATGGCAACATTAATAACTGGCTAATCTAGATTCTAAGCATTTAACAATATTAACAACATCAGGTCTTTTTCTAAACTAAAACTTGAATCTATTCTTGGGGGATATTATGTTCTTGAGCATCAGGATGACATTTTTTATCTTGCCCATCTGTGGGACCACAGATGACATCTTTGCACTTGAGAAACTCATTCTCCAGACTCTTGAGGGATTCAGCCAGATCTTGACTGGTGCGGAGTACAACCATATCATAAGCCATCCAAGACAAATTTACTGAGGACGAAGAAAATGATTGTTGACAAAGTACAGCATTATCATTATACAGAATGCACTATATTAGTTTGTTAGGCTAACGTTACCTGAAATATTTTCCATTTGTTCAGTCATCTTCTCCAAATGTTTGTTCAGTTGTAAATTCTCACGACCGAAATCCTCACATAACTGCACACTCGAAATATCTTCAGACATCTAAAAACCATCAAACTCCGTAACTCCAGCTGAATTGTTGTTAGGCTACTTAACCTCTCATATTAAACTAGTTTGATTTGGATCAATTATGGATTAAATATGAACAAGTTGTAAATGTAGGCCTGCATAAGTTAATCAGTTCGTCTTTCGACACCAGTTTTCGCCCGTCACTCAAATATAGACATGGTTTCATCAGGCCAAAGTAAGAGTGCTTTAAATTACGTTAATAAATTAATATATGTAAGTAGATTACAGAATTCACAGCGTAAGCGGGTTACCTTGGTAATGTAGCGAACTACAGACAACATTTGATGCTCCTTGTTTTATTGCGACAGCTTACAGTTCAGCGTCGAGCTCGATCAATGCACGCGACACGCAGATTTAACGGCTCTCTCTTGCGTCAGTCGCGTGCACGCACACACATACCTAGTGTAATCAGAACATGTCTGGTGTAATCAACTCGAATATATTTATATATATTTTTTTTTAATCTCCTGCCTTAGCTTAAAAACAACGATTCATCGATTAATTTATGACGTCCCGGCGTGGATAAACAAACAAGTAAATAAGACTTATTTACTTGTTCAAAGCAATAAGGTAACGTTAACTTACGAGAGGCTGTGCTGTATCTTAAGTGCCTGCCTGCAACCTTTTGAAACTTTTTCATGAATAAATTAATTATAAAATTAAAATAATAAAAGAGCTTACTCAACAAAAAAATAAATAAATACATTTTTTAAAAGTTTTTATATATATATTTCCACTGGAATTGAGCTGTATGTTGTAGGTTTTTGGTTGTAACAGAAAATTCCATTGTATCAGGCAAAAGTCTGAATGCATTCAGGTGAAGAGGAGTGCAAGGGTGGGTGAGCTGTGTCAGGAAGAGCCTAAACACGTGGAAGCTTTCAGCAAGGTGGGGCTGAGGAGGTGCTATATATGCATAAAACAGGTGCAACAAGTGACAATGTTGATACAGCAGAAGAAAGCACAATAGCTTTGAGAGAGGACACAAGCAGAACAGTGCTAGAGCTCCTGAAAATATTGCTAGACCATACGGTAAAAAAAGAAGAACAGTCATCAGAGAGAGAGAGAGAGAAGAAAAAACACCTTAAAGACTTTTTTTTTAATCCCAAGTGGAGCACCATCAGGATCACTGAGCAATGACATCCTATGAATCTCAAGGTCAGTCTCCAGCTAGATGTGGGCCTCAGTTCCCTAGCTTGGGACAGGAACCTCCAGAATTGAGTATGTACAGCGACAGCTACTATCCCCCTCCATCACTGCCGAGTCCACAGCGAGCGAACCCTACCTCATATGAACTCGGAGACTATGCTGCCTCATCGCCTAACCCCTACCTGTGGTTCAACAGCCCAGGGATGAACAGCGCTCCTTATCTGGGAGGAACGCCTGGCCCTGCAGGACCTTCTTTTGTTCCCCAGCACTACGGCATGCAAAGGCCCTATTTGGGACCTGGGGGACCAGGTGTTCCTGCTGGTGATCTGAGCTGGTTCTCCATGCCCTCTCAAGAGGATCTTATGAAGCTGGTCAGGCCACCTTATTCATACTCTGCTCTTATTGCGATGGCCATTCATGGTGCACCGGAACGCCGCCTCACTCTAAGTCAGATTTATCAGTATGTTGCAGATAACTTCCCTTTTTACAACAAGAGCAAAGCGGGATGGCAGAACTCTATTCGTCACAACCTCTCTCTGAACGACTGTTTCAAAAAGGTTCCGCGAGATGAGGATGATCCAGGTGAGTTTTTGCAGCTCTTTGGTTCCTTAAAAACATTACAAATGACTGAATTATTGTTTGTTACATAAATAAAGTAGTTTATATATATATATATATATATAGTTGTGAAATTTTTCTTCTAAAGTGTAGGAAACTCAGAAGCATGTGTGTGTGTGTGTGTGTGTATATATATATATATACAGTATATACATACACATACACAATATTAGTAACTATATAAACATTACAAATTATATTTTATCATTTAGAATATTATTTATAGAAATATTAAATATATATTTAAATACAAATAATGAATAATAATAATAAAAAATACGTATATATATATATATATATATATATATATATATAAACTGTATTTAATGTGAAATTTCCCTCTCATTTTAAAGGTAAGGGCAATTACTGGACCCTAGATCCAAACTGTGAAAAAATGTTTGACAATGGCAACTTCAGACGCAAGAGGAAGAGAAAGTCTGACTGTCTCCCAGAGAAGAGCAGTTCTGGAGGAAATCTGAGCTCTGAGTCAGGAGACAGTAATGGAAGGGGCAGCCCGAAAAATCAAGCTGTTGACATTTCCACTTCGCCTGAAAAGGGCCCTTCACCAACATCCACGGGTCCATCGCCATGCTTGAGCAACTTCCTGACTGAGATGTCTGGGGTCACGGCTGGCTCTCTCGATATGGAAGGAGATCCCCTGAACCGTCCCTTTATGCTCAGTCTGCCAGTGGACGGAGTACAAAGAGCCTCACAACCCACAGGCTTTAGCACCTACTCCCCCAGCTCAACAGTGTCTGAGTGGGCATCACCTCTGCCCCCACCGCCATCCATTTCCCCATCACCTTCCCACTCCACCTTAAGTTTCAACGGGCCCAGTCTTAGTCAGTTTAATGGGCATTTCTACCCTGGTTTGAGCTCGACGGGTATTCTTTACCCCCGGGAGGGCACAGAGGTATAGGAGGGGAAGCGAGTGACACCGAGAAGAGACAAACTGAATGATCAATTCATTCTATAGACTCTGGGGGCAAAAAAAAAAGAACACTCTTGTTTTCCTGAAACAATACACTGCTATATGGCCTAACCGAACTCCTCTGACTTCTGTGGGCGCAAGATACGAATGAATTCCCACAGGAATGGCCTAGTCAGCATGAGATATGACAGGCTGACTCTAGCAAAGGCCCCTGTTATCAGCAGCTCCGACCTGAGGTCAGCTGCTGACATCAAGCGATTCTACGCACCTAATTCTTTAACTCATATTACTGAAACCGAATTCATGCGCCTGTAATGAAAGCCAACTGATGAATCACGTATTTTGTGGGCAGAGAAAGTCCAGCTAAAATACATATGGTGAAGCAGATTTTCTCTGCTGCATGCTGGTATTGTAATATGATACTGTCGGTCTTTGTATTTTAACCTGACAATGTGTTGTTTATTGTAAAGTTGGGTATGTGTGAATGTTTGAGTATAGTTTATTTTATTTTATTTTATTTTATTTTACTATGAGGTCGCTAAAAGGGTGTAAATTGATTCTTTTTAATAAAAAAAAATATGTAAAATAAAATTGACTTGGATATTATTCAGTTGAATAATGTTATTTATTAAACAAAAACAACAAAAAAAACTTTTAATTTTATCAAAAGGAAACTTTGACTCGGATTTAGTGTCCATGGAAAAGAAGATGACCTTGAAAAAACTAGAACTTGTTTCACCAGGTCACTCTTAACTGTCACTCCTTCCAGAGACTTTCACTATGCTGATGGCTACTGCTGATCCCACAGTTTTCGGCAGTGCTTCAAATATACATAAAATTTGTGATGATGACATGGTAGATAATAAGTTGTAAGACAGCACTAGTTGCTCGAGATGAGAACTTGATATTTTTGTTTAGTTAACAGAAAATTTGATACAGCCAGACAGTGACTGATGGTTAACAGATTTAAGTCCTGCTGATTCCCGTTCCATTAATGTGGAGACAGACACAAATGGAAAGCTCATTATTTTTTATATATATAGTGACATCAATTTTAATGTTGGTTTTTGTTCCAAACGTCACAGGCTGTTTAAACTTAGGATAAAAATATTAGGACACTTTTTGGTTGTCAGCTTTAACGTAATGGTGATTAATACCCGAGATTACACAGCTAATGTCTGTATTGTAACATGATTATTTTTATGTACAAGTGAGCTTGTGTTTAAATTAAATGAGCGACAGCTTCAGTGATGATCAGGGGAGCGCTTTTCTTTCTGTTTATATCCCTTTTACTGTTTGAATAAACTTTTTTTTTCATGCTCCTGAAAAACCCATAACATTCACGTACACTGCAAAGTTTTAGTAGTAAGAACTGCATTGTACACTTCATTCCCACTAACTGCATTAATTAAGTGAAATCAAAATTAACTCATGAAAGTGTGATGATTGACATTGTCACAGTGATAACCACTATAGTAGTAAAATAGCAATGGATGGGAAATAAATCTAACAAGTCAAATAGATTTATGCATTTTATTACAGACTTAAATAATAATAATTTAAATAAATAATGAAATAAAAAAAGTTACATAAACTAAGTATTTGTAAGCAATTTACCCAGCACTGGATGTACACTACGAAAGAAAAGACTATCGCAACTTTCGTTTCATGATGACTTTAAAGGTTGGTATGGTACTGAGAATTATGAAAATGTATTTTGGTATTCACAACTCAATTACAACCCAAATAACCTGTCTCTGTTATTACATTAAACATGTATAGTAAATAAATACGTGTGCCACAGATATATTAATAAAAATACAACAAACAAATGAAATTAAGCAAAGAAAATAAAGTAGGCATAATTTTAATACCTATAAGGTTATGTGTTCAAATACTTTATTTATGAATGTATTTATATAATTAAAACGCATGCTTAAGCCAAAAAAATACAAAGACATGACACTAGAATAAAGAAACCATACAAATTAAAACCTTTGGTTCAGACAAAATTATTGGCTTGAGGCTTGATTCTGTTTGTCTGTCTATGGTCAAGAGCAATTTCTAGAACTGTGGTGTGTGTTTTTTGTACTGTCAAGACACAAAAAAAATATAAAATGTCTACATGATGGAGGACTTTGTAGGCAACTTGCACCACGTTGCTAAGGTCACCAACAGACATGTTGTATCAGTAAATCAGCTATCTTGACAGATATGAATTCATTTGGCAGTTTCTGACAGTCTTTACCTGACTGGAGGGTACCTTTAAGCAGGTACAAATTTACCACGAAAGACCTCAGCTCAGATCATATAACAACTGTTTTGCAGAACAGCTCACAACACACCCAAGCAGATCTTAAAATTATTTTTTAGGAATTAATCAAATCTGGATTTCAACATTTTTCTTCTTTGAATGCGTGTGAGCAGAAGCTTACACGCATAGAGAATGAGCCCAGAAGCAAATTCATGCCTAAAGGGATTACCTCTTCAGATGGAGAAATTGATATAGTATAAAATCTGAGGATTTATTACTAAGGCCATTCTTTAGTTAATGTAACATGCAAAACACATACCATTATTCAGCACTTCAAAGAATCATTTGCAATATTGGATTTATCTGGCCTGTGAATATGTTTCTAGGAAAAAAGAGAAAAACAAACATTATACACACGAATGGGAACCACAGATGAAAGTTATTGTGACAGAAAAGTACTTTGCTGATATCATATTTGCATATGACATACATCTTTGCTTATTTTTATGGATCAGTGCAAGTATTTCTCGACATATCGTGTATATTTCATTGCCAGTCGAGTACCAGACTAAAAGCAGCTGTGGCAGGTGAAAGTAGGGAAGAAGAACTTGTTCTACTTTGTACCGTATGCTTCAAATGTGCCAAAAGAAACAGAAGGAACACTAAGTCGAACAAAACCTGACAATAAAGCAAATTTAAGGAAAGTTGGCTTTTGGTTGAAAACTACACCCTCTCACTGAACTGTAATGATGCAAATTACCAACTGCTTATTTTGCCAGTGGAAATGCACTGTGCTTTCTTTTTCGCCTGTCTATAAAGGCATCTTGAGATTTTTTTCCACCTTGAGACTAATTTACAAGCACTGACCTCTCAATGGAAATACACATTAAAATGTAAAAGAATATAATTCCACAGATTAATTTCACTCTGTAAAACTGTATAGCCCTTTCAATGAAAATCTCTTCTGAGTATGCACAACAGCTGTCTACAATTACATTTATGAATTTAACAGACGCAAAGCGATTCACAAATCAAAAATGTCTGCCTCATCATAAGCATGTGATATAATTAATATTTATATAAAATATTGTATTTAAAGCTCTCATCATCCGTTATTTTATAATCAACAATTTTATTTAATCTGTTTTCAATAGCTTTATTTTTATTTTATTTTATTATGCATTGCTTGATTTTATTGCAATCTCCCCAAAAGGGGAGATTGCAGTGAATAGTCGACGACAACATACAAGGAGACGAACAAGGTGAGTAGAAAGCAATAGTAAACAGTCCACAATAATAATAGTTTCTTGCACTTGTGAAGAAGATGATAGCACGCGAAGCATGAGGGCCACTATGCAAATAAAAAAATGAAACCAAAATGAATTAATTAAAACAAAACAAAACAAAAACGAATTGCTACAGCAGTCTACAAAGAGGTCAAACTGGTTCACATAGGTACATTTTGTGAGCTTCTGTAGGGGCGATGTGTTAAAGGTCAGTAATCACTTATTATCACAAATGTATTTTGTACATTTGTTTTAGTCTTATTTCGCTCAATCAATATCAATTACCCAACCACACTATTTCCTGTAGCCTTGAGGCAGAATTAATTCTCAACAGTATAATGTGATTAAAATCTTCTATAAATCTTCTGTTGCACCTGCTGCCTGTTATGTGGCACACACCTGTCTCTCAAACGGAATATACCAAAACAATGTGTTCAAGACCCTGCTGCTGGATTTTATGACATATTACCAGCCAATAACAGTCAGTACTGAAGCCATTACTGACTTCCAGGAAAACAAACAAAACAAAAACCAAAAAAAAAAAAAAATCTTGGCTCTGATATTGTTAGTCTTGGCTCTGACATACATAGATATATATACAACAATAAACCCTTAGATTAATATTTATGTAAAAAAAAAAGAATGTTTTATACAAGTATGACACTGTCAGTAATGATGGAAGTAATGGCTTTTAATAAATCATAACAGTAGCATTCAAAAGTTTGTGGTCAGTAAGAATTTAAGAAATTTACGAACTTGTATTCAGCAAGGATGCATTAAATTGATCAAACGTGACAGTAAAGACATTTATAAAGTTACGAAAGATTTCAATTTCACATAAATACTTTTCATGGGGAAAAATAATCTCAGGGGCAGCCCATTCTCACCCCCAAGGCGTCACTTAACTGACGCCTTGGGAAGCATTTGGACATGCTTCAATATCTGACGCGCCTTGGGAAGCATTTGGACATGACGCTTATCTGACGCTTTAGGCGCCCTTTAGCGTCAGTTAGATGACGCCCTAGGATCGCGTGTACCCTACCCCCACCTCACACCTAAACCTAACCGCGTCCTCTAACTGACGCTTTCCTTTAGCGTCAGTTAGATGACGCCGTAGGATCGCGTCATGTAAGTGACGCTAAAGGGCGCCTAAAACGTAAAATATTGAAGCATGGTCAAAGGTGACGCCTTGGGGTGAGAATGCGTTGTCAGGGGATGGTGGGTTCAACAAAAATATGCAGATCAGCATATCAGATCAAATCAGCATTTCTGAAGGATCGTTGACTCTGGAGACTAATGATGCTGAAAATGTTGCTTTCCCATCACAGGAATAAACATTATTTTAAATTGTACAATACTGCTGTTTTTACTGTATTTTTGATTAAATAAAAATATGAAATGGGGATCCCTGCTCTTTCTCTCTTTGCATCAAGGGCTTGAAAAGTTTGAAGAGATCCTGTGTTAATTATTCAATGCATTTTATTAACTAAAGTACCACAGTTTTACCATCCGTTATTACCATGGTACAGCCATTGTTCTGTAAGGGTTATCTCTCTTAGCCCGAGTATTTAGCCCAATCATTATTTTTAAATATGCTCATTCATTCTTAATGCCACAATAGAAAAGCTGAAGAATCCTTAGAACAACCCAAAATAGTCTGTTTTGGAGTCAAATTCATAGGATTTCAGTTCAGTATTAGTGTGGGAGAGGGTTATGTCAAGGATGACAGTAAGTCGGGTGCATTCCAGCTGGTTCTGTGTAGTGTTGATAGGGTAAACTCTAAACAGACATGAACAAATCCATCAGGACTTTGACATGTTTCGAGGAAGGGGCCGGTGAACTGAAATTGAACCGTTAAAAGGTGATGAAAGAACTGATAAGCTTCAAGCTTTAAGGCTGTTTGTTTTTCAGAGTCAATTCATTATATTTTAAACGAGGAACACGGTACATCGGTGATAACAACCTCCCTAAAGGGCAATGCACCCTCCTGTCAACTACTACAACCTCAAAACCAAAACAGCAAGCACGTGCTGCACTGTTATTGGCTAAACATTATTGACTGATTAGTGATGTTTAGTAAACCAACCCCTGGCAGAGAGATGATGCTCTGATTCACTGAATCAGGCAGGAGAAAGACCATCCAGGTCCAGGTCATTGTTGTGTGTAAATACTCGAACACACTTTAGACGCATGCTAAGGAGACACAGGATAAAAAGCCTGTCCTTGAATTATTGGCGCGCATACACATAGCTAACCTTCTACAAAGTCATGTTAACGTTTTTCTGACATGATTAAGTTTGAATGACAATGACTTACTCATTCCTTTTGATTGCGCTTCCTCTCTATCTCTCTCACACACAACACATTTAAAATTGTACAGCATCTAAAGGATGGAACATACATAAGCTTTTTTTTAAAAAAAGACAAGAAATATTGTATTAATGAATTTAATGAAAAAAACTAATAATTTGGAAACATTTAATATTACGAAGAGAAAACATATAATTTAATTGATAACTTTTATACTATAATTGGTATAATTTCAAAATTAATTTGATAAATATTTTATATATTACATATTTGATTCAGTTATTTAAATTGAATCAGTTTTTCTGTGAATTTAGACAATAATTTTAAGAGAGACAAGCAATCCATATCATCTGAACACTCAGACTAAATCAGGAAATAAGAAAAAAAAAAATGCCAAGAAAAGGTTCAATTTCTCTTTCTCCTTTGTCCTTAAGGAAAATCCAATTAATGACAGAAGAAACCATGATCCATTGAGTGAATCCAACAAGACGTTCATCAAGAGGAAAACAGAACAGAAGACAACAATAATTCCATATCTACTGTCCAAAGTCATATTCCATCTCCACATGAAAGCATTCATCCTTCTGTATATCTGGGAAGCACAGAGCTCTAACTGAACTGACATGTACCAGGGCTTATATAGAATATTTAGTGAAAATAGTGTTGGGAGACAACAAACACTTTAGTATAATAAACTGTTCTGTGTTATTTTCCCCCCTAAAATATTTGACATGTCAACATGACAAAAACAAAACTCCATGAGTGTTAAGAGGTATTTGGCCCCGACTCTGCAGGCTCCCTGCTGATTTCAAACATCATGGCTGTTTATTAGTTTCAACAGCTAACAGTTGGGATGTTTCATAAGCAAATATAATGTCCCACAGATCCCTCACCATATCCTTGAGAATCAGGCTTATGGTTGATGTTGGATCTACAAACCCTGATATTCATCTAATCCTTTGTTCTGATCATTGCATGGTTTGTAATCCGGTTTGAATGACAGCACAGCAAGCCGTTGTGACATTCTTGGTGTGTGTCATTTGCTCCCCCTAGTGCTTAAAAGAGTACAGTGCCTGTGTAATTCAGTAACTCCTCAGAAGAGGGTGGGTCAATCAAAATAATGTTTAGCATCATGGTAAAACAGGTTTGCCTTATCTCGGATTAGAAGTGTTTCCTGACATCATCTTGTCACAATATTCAATTAAATGTTGCATCAACAAGATGGGTCAGCTAAATTCTCATTCGCTTTGTCATGTGGATACCTGAAAGGAAACTATACTTCAACAAAAAGGGAAATGATACCTAGTGTTCATACTAATCGGGTATATAGTACTTGGAGAAAGCAATCTGTTGTGTTAGCATTCTTGTTAGCATAGCAAATGTGTGAGTCTCAGGAAGGAAGTATGCAACCTGCTTTTTGCTGTCTTTACTCATGGTAGCTCATTCCAAATAGAGGATACTATCAAATATATGTCAAAGGAAATAAATGCTATTTGCTCCCAAAATGGTGTAGTCATTTTATTTACCAACATGGTCTACTCTAACTGAACCAAACCTTGGCTGAATTTGAAATCGCCCCCATACCCTCATTCACTATTCCCACCTATTCCAGTAATATAGTCTATAGTAAATGGAAACAAGTAGCAAATTTGCACACTGAGTGCAGTGGCATTTTCTTGTAAGACGCTGGAATATATTCGATGTGACACTTACACTTACAGTGTATGGCTATAGAGTGTACACTATTGAGGTGCATATAGGATTGAAGTACACACAATAATGTCTGCTATGGTTTCAGACACCACTACAAATGCCTGTTCCTTCAAATAGTGCACTATGTAAGTGTATTGGAGCCATTTCGGAGTGCTTGGTTCTGAAAAAAACTCAAAATGCTTAAGAAAGCATAGAATGCAGATTAGTTGTTTTCTCAATATTCTCTGGGAAAAAAAGTATATGATTATCATTTATTCAATCTTAAAATGGATTTGTAGCTCTGGGATTTAACTCACTTTGCGTGAAACTCAATTAAATGAACCTATCAAGCCACCAGGAGAAAGTCTAACTTAGATAAAATTAATAAGTCAGCCACGTTTTAAAAACAGATCTGTTATCAATACTGATTTACTATTTAACAAAGTATTTTGTGCAAATCCAAATGGGAAAATACAAAGCATTTTGTTTTTTTTTTTTTTTTTTTAAAAAAATGTATACATCATATTTGATGGAAATATAATTTTACACCTATTCTAAGAAACCTTCTTACATGTTAGGTCTTCACCCATAAATGTGACCTTTAAATGATCTAACAATGTCATGAGTCCAGAAGCATGTATGCACTGATGCATGCTCATCAGGCTGGTTTCCTCACTCTAATGCACTGACTTGGCCTAAGGTAAGATGTGGCCACCACATGCAGCATTCATCAACATACACCAACATGCCTCCACAGTGATGGGGCTAGAAAAGACTTTCCTATGGAAATAAATGATGTGCTTTTCCTAGACACTGAGATGTCAAATAGATTCATGCTGTTGGGCTGTCTCTGAGCCCTTTTCCCTCATTTACACTCACTGATTTACATTAGGCATGCAATGTGCCTGTAAATAAAGATAAATTACCTTCCTGGGGGGAAATGTGATTTTCATGCATGTCACTTAATTGTGTATTATATATATGACTACTTTATTTAATCACAAATCCCTAATGTATCATACAGTAGCTAAGCAAACAGATAAATTGTTAATAAACAACAAAAAAATCATCATAGGTTGAAAATGATTAATGAGAACAAAAGAGATATTAAAAAAAAATGTAACTGTCATTGGCTTTTTACAAGAGAAAGTTGCAAATTCCAAGAGTTATATGCTGAGTTCATGTGCTATGGTAATTATGGTAAATACCAAAAGCCGACATGGAAAATGCACATGAACACCCCCTCATGTGGTATTTTCCACTGGGCAACTCGTAGAATATTTTGATGGACGAATTGCCAATAACCTTTGAACTTTTCAAAATGGCGAAGATCACCGCAAGAGTCGTGTATGGTAAAAATATATACTATTCATGATCTAAAAAATATCCAGCATATTATTTACCTTTTGAGTTTTGATAAATAATTTTCTTGCTGTTGCAGATGACTTAAGAAATGTAAAATAGTTTAAGCTAAATAACAGAAATGATTTAAAGGAGAGAAATACAGCAGGATAGAGACCCAGAGAACTGCAGTATTTCACTAGAGTAAAAATAGTGTTTTAAACTGTCAACAAAATGAACCAGTTTATGTTCTTTTAACCTTGACTTGTGGTTGCCAGGTTACTGTCTCGTACTCCAGTGACCTAGGAAACAGCTATGTGGAGAAAGCAGATGTGTACAGGGCAGAAACATGTAAATGAATGGTGTGCTTGACAGTGAGGGGAAAAGCAAGGGGGAGAAAGAGTGTATTTGTCTGAAGGTGGTTGCATTGTAATATATATATAAGTAATTAATAAGTAATTTATTAAACCATTTAGAAGAAAATCAAAGAAAGCTAATTATGTTTACAAATATAGGCTATTACAATAGGCTATTAACAAGAAATAATGCAGCACTAATGAATGTGTCAAGTGTGCCCAAGTTCCAACGCATTCTCATCCTTTCTGGTGCACCTTTCCTGCTCTTTTAACATCACACACTACACACTGGTCCCGAAATCCCACAGCCCTTCTCTATTTACTGATGTTTTATTCATTTCATTCTCTCTGTAGGTAAATTCATTTTCTTCGGCCATTAAAAATGAACTCTCACATTGATACTTTCAACACGTCCTGTTTGCTCAATGTCTGGAGATGTTTTAAAGGTTTAGAGTTTCTTGTGTGGTGTGATTGCATATTCTGCCTATTGATTTTGTTTTTACTATATACTGTAGCATTAGGCACATGAAAGCAGAAAGAAAGAGTAAAGAGAAGGAAAGGGTAATGGAGAAAAACCTCTGAGGGGTTTCAGTGCACTTAATAAATAAGTGGAGGGGTTGTTTGTTTACACTGATGCAAAATTCCACTTACCTGTCCTCATTGAATGTGAATATGGGGACGTCACATCAGCTTCTCTGAGGAATCCTGATTGGCCAGTTCAGCTCTTCTTTCACCATGTGGTTGAGTGAGGTTGATGATGTGTCAACTGCAGAAAGAAAATAAAAGAGTCAGGTCCACACTCCACAACTGAAATGGACATCAACACATACAATTTTTACTAATAGCTCACCTTCCCACAGCCATGTCTGTTCTTACACAATTCCAGTGGATGTAAGCGGATTATCCTAACCTCAAGAATATCGTATTTTTTGTTTTTCTTTCCTTCGAAATACTACACATATCAAAAGATATAATATAACTTTCATTTAATGAGGTCAGAAAATGATGTCATGCGGCTGATGATCTGACAGGTTTTAATTTTAGATATATTCTAAAAATCCCTTAGGGACGAGTCTGGCTTATACCAAATCGTGCTAATGCCATGTACTCAACTGCATCATCCCTAAGGTTGGCATGCAAACAAGGAACACTCTTTCCTTGATGAAAACCGAACACGAGAGTATGTCCTGCCCATGAGAGCGTAAATCAGAGCGACAGAGTGAGAGACTAGAAAAATAGAGGGGGAGAGAGAGAGAGAGAGAGAGAGAGAGAGAGATACAGAATCTGCACATCCTCACAACCCGCACACCTTTACCGTTCACAATCGGACTCAAGACTGAACTGAGAAAGCAAAAAAAGGTGAGTACAGCATAATGTGCGTGCATGAGTGAGTGAGAATCTAATGTCTTTTTAATTAAAAAAGTATACTAAAGAAAGCTATACATGGTTAAGATTCTTTTGCAGGATTCTTAAGAATAAAGTATTATGGACAGTAGTCTGCTTGAGCAAGCTACTTCTCAAAAAGGTTTTTGGTCTTAGATTATAAAGATCAGAAAGAATATTGGTTTCCAGGTTCTTTAAAAAGCATGATACCATGCTGTAGATGATTTTCCAAAGAACTAGTAAATAAAAAGCTATTTTGAAACTGTCAACTATGTTGTCATTTACTCATCCTCATGTCATTCCAACCCAACTTACGTTCAATCTTTATTTAGATATATTTGTTGTTTGTCCATACAGTGGAAGTCAATGGCTTCAAAGTTGTTTGGTTCCCAATGTTCTTCAAAATATCAGAAGTATACAGATTTGGAAAGACATGAAGGTGAATAAATAATGACAGATTTTTCAAGGGCGAACTACCCCTTTAAAAAGATTCTTCTCGGACATCAGGCTGTAAAAACAATATTTTGGGTCTTATTGGAGTCTTTATTTTAACAGCATAGGACAGGATTTGAAAATAAAAAGAACTGAGCAAAGAAAAAAAAAATCAGGCAGACTGACCTTATTATAGTAACCGTCATGTAAATGGCGGGCTGGTGGATTTATCTGAATGAATGTAAGTCATGTGATGACAAATGAGGTCATTTCAATCTTCACTCTTGTGTATGAGCTGTACTGTCATGCGGCTCTGTAATTATAAAACTGTCTGAGTGATCTACGAAAGTGCATGAAGAGGAGACCATTACTAGACCTAGCATGTGAAGGTCTTGACAAAAAATGGAAAGAGGACAGATTAAGGTAACATGAATTAAAGAGAGCCTGAAAAGAGTGGTGGAGGAGGAAAGAAGGAACTACATGTTGGTAATCTGTCAACTGGATTGTGACGGGAACCAAGATGAGAGGAAATAGCTATTCATGTGGTGAGGTGATTGGTGGCGGTCTTCTGATTTTCAACCATAAACCTCTCAGGCTCTAGGGTCGATCCAAAGTCACAGCCCATTCTCACCCCCAAGGCGTCACTTAACTGACGCCTTGGGAAGCATTTGGACATGCTTCAATATCTGACGCTTTAGGTGCCCTTTAGCGTCAGTAAGATGACGCCCTAGGATCACGTGTACCCTACCCCCACCCCACACCTAAACCTAACCGCGTCCTCTAACTGACGCTTTCCTTTAGCGTCAGTTAGATGACGCCGTAGGATCGCGTCATGTAAGTGACGCTAAAGGGCGCCTAAAACGTCAAATATTGAAGCATGGTCAAAGGTGACGCCTTGGGGTGAGAATGCGTTGAAAGTCACTAGCTCAGACAACACGCTGGTCTTAAGTTCCTATGCTGGCACTCAATAGTCCACCAGACCTAGCTTGATGTCTGCAAGTCTAATGGGGAGGATGACACAGGCAGTTCCTTCATCTAGGACACACCTGGCGCCTCTCACTCACAGCTGAACGCAATTATCCTTGCAAATAAGCTAGCAAAGGCTGGGATACAGGTCTCACATAAACAGCATCACAGGCAGTGTCAGATCCTGAGCTGTGGAGGCATCATTTGAGAAAGTTTGCTTTTACAGAAAACCTTGGATTAGCACCAGAAGATAAACATTAATCTAAGAAGGAACAGGCTTTCCTGGAGGTAGAGAGCAGAGGTTATATAGTTGGGCTTACTGATACATATCCTGTGTGTCTCTGTGCTGTCAAACATCATTTAGCCGTCGGTTTGAATCCTGCACCTCTGTTGACAATGTTGTTTGGGCTTAGAGCCTGAGGATGCCGAGAGGAGTCCGCTTTAATCATGGCGAGCCGATCAATCCGCAGGGAGATGATTAAAGCAGATCCACTGTCCCTCTCCAGCAGCTTTCCATCTGACAAAAAATATAAAATGGAAGAATGCCTAACTAAAAGGGATATCACTTTGATGGACACATGCAAAAAAAGACTGCTGTCAAACTGATATGTTGCTTGTCAAGTAACTCAAGGTTTGTTATTTACAAAGGTTCACAGTGGCTCATAGTGCTAAATAATGAAGCCATTCCCAGGCCCAAATGTACGGAAGAGGATTAGGGCCAAGCAATAATAAAAAAAAATGAAACCATCTTGAGATTAAAGTCATTATAATGAGATTAAACTTGTTAAATTTCGAGAAAAAAAGTCTAATCTTGAGAATAAACTCATTAAATTTCAAGAATAAAGTCAAAATGAAATTTAGAGAATAATGCATTCGATCAGTGTTCATTGCATGGCCTACTGATAGGCCATGGCAGAGTTGGATCACTAGTCAAGCTATATTTTAGACTTTATTTCAGTAACAAAGAAATACTATTAACTTTAGCAGTAATGTATTGCATTAAAATTGTCACTGAATTTGCCCGTGCAGAACTTTACTGGTAAAAGATGTTTGAGCCGTCACTTGAACCACTGCTGCAAATGCATGGCATGTGGACAGATGATCAATTAAAACCGTATGTACAGCATTGCCATTAATGGCTGTATAGATGGTTACAGTCGTTACATTCTGTGGATGGAGGCATACACAACCAATAACAACCCTAAGTAATAGCCTGTTAGCTACTTCTAAAAAAAGTTACTGGCATAGGAGGGTGTCCCTAAAGATCTGCGCGGACATGGGGACCGAAAATGGTAGTGTGGCACTGCAGCAATGCAAAGGGTTTTACAAAGTAACCATGGAGACAGTTTCTCGAAACACGACTTTATTCTCGAAATGTAATGAGTTTATTCTCAAAATTGTATTTCGATTTTTTGTTTCTTGAAATGTAACGAGTTTTTTTTCTTAAAACAACAACTTTGTTCTCGATATTTAATGAGTTTAATCTCTCATTATAATGACTTTGATCTCAAGATGGTTTCATTTTTTTTTATTATTATTATTATTATAGCTTGGCCCTAATCCTCTTCCATAAAAATCAGTTTCATTGTTATTGTTATTATTATTTGCACTCTTTTTGTGGCAAAAAAAAAAAAAAAAAAAAAAAAAAAAAAAAAGATTTCTATGGAATTGAATGAAGGCCCATGGCTGCATCTGAATATGCCTACTTCCCTATAGTAGGTGTTAAAAGAGTTGTGTGTCCAAATTCATAAAATTCATTACTCTATTTAAAATTCACTAATTAAACTTAAATGATTGTAATTCAAGAATGCTTTGGAATATAGACCTAATTTAAATATGAACCCTATACCACTTAAAAAGTTAGTAGTAGGAAGGAAGGAAGTTTAAAACTTACATTAAATCAAATATACTGTACTTTATATTTATTCTTTTTTATACAATATTTTTAAAAAAATATTGTAAAATAAATTACTATAGAATCAAAGCCATATATCTAACCAAATTTGAAGTTGATATCACAGAAATTGAAGTTCCCATGAGATTTTGTTTAGGCATAATACCAAAAATAGCTGCCAGGTGACTTACATTTCTATTGAATTTAATTGTATGCATGATTCTGCCATAACAAATGAATAAACTTCTGTCCAAATATCACTTCTGTCACAAAATATGGAACCTTGAGACTCAGACCTTTCTGACAATATGTGTTTTGTCAAGACTAAAAAAAGGAGAACTCCGGCACAAAATTAACCTTATAATAAAACACTGAGACCTAGTCAACCGTTCTCTGAGATTTTTTTTCATGATAATCGAACGTAAAGGGTTTTTTCTCTAAAAACTGTTTAGATTATAATGCTAGTACATGGGTGCATATAATAAGTAAAAAAGAAATCACTAATTAATACCACTAATAAGGCTCAAAATAGCCACACACTAACACAGTAACATAATGACCGTCCATACATGCAAAACGAAGCATTGGGAACTTTGTGTACAGACAGTTTAATAAGAAGATATTGTATAAAGACAGTCCACTTCGCGTACAGGCAGGAGCCATCTTTGGAAAACAGTGTCGATAAGTCGAACCAAAATGATTTGTAATGATCTAAATTAAGTTAATTGAGGAATACCTGAAATACTGAATGACGAAATTAATTTCTAAGATATAGAAAACAAAAACTCAGAGTCTAAGACCCATGTTGTGCATCAAAGGGTTAAGTGCATCCTCTGGGTATTTAAAGCCTATTTTTTTCTTTTTGGAAATTTCAGTATGAACACACTATTTGCACTATTAATAGTACAAAACAAATATCGCATAAGTCCACAGGAAACAAAAGAGATAAAAGACAGATGTGAGATGTGAATTTGCAAAAAGGAACGAGGAGCAAACAGCATTGTGATTGAAACTGTAAGGGAGGCAGTTGAGGGTGAGGAAGAGAAGAGCGATTGGAAGAATGCAGCATGTCACAAGCCACATGCCATTGTTATTGACGTTGATTTATAGGGAGCCGAGCAATGAGACAATCTAAACTACAGGTGCTATCACAGGCATCTGACACAGCTGTGCACATGTATATGAGAGAGAGAGAGAGAGAGAGAGAGAGAGAGAGAGAGAGAGAGAGAGCGATACTGGGGGTAGGTTGGGGAAATGGGGGAGGCAGAGAGAGAATATTCTCAGAGCAAATGACGAGTGTGAGGGAAGCCATGCTTGGACGGAGACACACTGCGTGCTGAGAGACCAAGAAACAATTACAGATTTAGAAGAAGACATAGAAGACCCAAGATTCATTTAAGGACTGAAAACATCTTTATCCACCTGAATCAATTTTACAGGTACACCAACAGAGAAAGGGACCAAGAAGAGTGAAGGGTAATGTCACTATACTTTGTATCTCAGATCTCCACAGGAAACTGCTGTCATTGTGATGTTCATGCAGCATGACAGAGCATGGGGACAGCTGATGGATGGAGGGATGAGGTGGAAGTGGAGAAGAATAATTTAAGATGGAAAAAAAAAATGTGTAGTGGGAGTGATGAGATGAGTGGCATGCAAAACAAGACTCAGAATTGGGAATTCTGAAAAATATATTTGATCGTTTTTGCATCTGCAGATCATGTGATTTTAATTAATGCAATATTCAGAGCTAGTGGAAAAGCTGGAGAAAAAAATATGCGAAATTGTTAGAACATGGTAATCTTGAGATTTGTACTATGACACTCTTTGTACTCTGGGCGCAAAAGGTGTATTTTATGTGACTCATTTTGTAATAGACATTGACATTTTGAAAGATTGCTCTAATCTAAGAATCCAAGAGAAAGAGGGAGAGAGACTTATAATGAAAGAAACGGAGAGAAAGAGAGCGAGAAAAAGGGTTGGTGGGGGCTGATCTGAGGTAAAATGGACCAGCGCCTTTTATTATGGACTGCTTCTTGTCCCATGACAATAACTGCAGTGGTTATTGCTGTATTTTGAGGCAAGACAATCAGCTTCATAAGATTAAAGTAAAGAGAAATAGTGACTGGGAGGTTGAGCATTACATAAAATAGAACATTAATAAAAGGTTGTTGGTGGAGCAATTGTGTGCAGACAGAGGACAGCTGCCATCTTGTGCTGAGGTTACGGGAAATTAAAGTTTACATGGTTGATGGGTACTTATGAGGACATACTTACAGTTTCCTGGGACCTCGAGCTGGGAGACACCTGAAAACAATGCAATGCAAATTGAAAATTAATATTGGTTGACAAACAGTGCTTTGATATGTGTTCAGTTAACTAATTGAAATTGCATTCAACAATTTATTAATATACCATTAATAAATAGACTATTGTATTAATTAATACTGCAGAAATATATTGCAGACAGTGAAATCATAATCAAAGGCCTCTTTAATAAATACCCATGAAGACTTGCATCAATCTGAGTTTTATTATCCACTTGGTAAACTGGATGACAGGCTAAAGCTGCATTTCTCCGGGCATTATTTTAATATAAACTCTCATGTAGCAAATGTGTAGCAAAGAAGCAAATGTGGAATACAATGACGCAATTAAAATATCTTATTCTCTAATTTGAATAATCCCTGGAGAAAACAGTGTGTGGGATGACAAGAGAGGGCCTTCAGAGTGACTGGTCATTATCCGTTCTTGTTAGTGATGATTTTAACAAAACTTTTTTTCTTAAATCCTCTTCACAGCCACTGCTCATCTGTATCACATTATCACAGAATGCTGCTCTATCTTCTGTTCTGGGCGAGTCTATTTCTGTTGATTACAAACGGGTGAGTAAAGAGATAAACATCTGACACATTGAGACTAAGAATCATCAGCATTCCACATTGTTAACATTTCTCCCTGCATCCCAGTGAAAGAGGATTCTATGGGAATCAGTATGGTGAATGGAATGATTCGCAACTGCAGCCCACCATACAGAAGCTGATGAAAGGCTACAATCGATACCTAAGGCCAAACTTTAACCGTAAGGGCCAGCTGTAGTTGATTAAATATAGATTGTGAATTAAAACATGGATAACACATTTATTTGTTCCCACAGAGGGGCCTGTTAAAATTGGAATGAGTTTGGATATTGCCAGCATTGATGCCATCTCTGAGATTAACATGGTACGGATACTATTCATGTTTATAACCTCACCTGTAAACTTTCTTGAAAACTAATGGGATTCTGTTCTGTTCACAAACTGATAGGACTACACGGCCACTATTTTCCTAAGACAACGATGGCAAGATTCCCGACTGATATTTCCTGGAAATGAAAGTCTGAGTCTGGATGGACGGCTGGTTTCTTTGCTGTGGATCCCCGATACGTTCATCCCTGATTCTAAGCGTTCCTTCCTCCACGATGTCACTGTGGAAAACCGCCTGATCCGCATCTTCAGCAATGGCACCGTGCTCTACGCTCTCCGGTTAACACTGAATCTGAATTTACAACTTCTTACCCAAGGCTGAACAGCTGCACCAGGCAGCTGTATGTGCGTCTGGGGAACCTTCCTATACTGAAACGGTTCAATCAATATTCCTCCTTATCTCCACAGCATTACAGCAACCATCGCCTGCAACATGGACCTCACCAAGTATCCTATGGATAGACAAGAGTGTACTTTGCAATTAGAAAGCTGTAAGTGTTTTCATTCTAAACAATCAGATGTAAATGACTTCTACTTATGTTATTTTATTGATTATTCAAGAGCAGGCTGTGCATACCCTTAAACCTGAATGTGTGCGCGTGCATGTTCAGGGGGATATAATTTACAGGATGTGGTGTTTTACTGGACCCGAGGGAATGACTCAGTGAAGGGGTTAGACACACTGCGTCTGGCCCAGTACAGCGTAGAGAGCTACTACACAACCGTATCTGAAGCTGTGTATGAAACAGGTATAAACATCTAATTTCATTATGAATATCTTGGCCACTTTTTATATTTTATTTAACTGAAAAGTACCAGTCAGCCAGTCATCTGACATGTCTTTTTCCTAAGCGGCTTACAGCGCAATCATGGTTTACAGTGTCCCAAAAAGAATTTGGATACTAAAGCCTGACTTAAAGATGCATGAATGCCACTGCAATAGATAACAAACGATCATCCAAATTTGTTTATTTATTTATTAAGAAAAAAGCACAAGCACATATTTCATAATGTACATTATGGATTACAAAAATAAGCCGAAACAAAACTCTTGTGTCATACAATGACTATTAGGAATGGCCTTTTCCTGTTTTTCACTGAAAACTATATGGTAATTAATTCTTAATTTTTTTCAGCATTTTACATATAATACAATTATAAACCATGTACAATTTTCACCATATATGGAAAGGTAATTTGCAGTTAGCTAATTAACCAACGTACTATTTTATAGTATTTTTCTGTAAATATATATATATATATATATTAAAAAATGTACACTGTTTGAATCACCTGCAGTATTCTGGATCTGTTGCAGGTTTTTACCCGAAGCTAGTGCTCCACTTCGCTTTGCGCAGAAACGTGCTGTTCTTCATTCTGGAGACGTATGTGCCCTCAACATTGCTGGTGGTTCTGTCATGGGTGTCTTTCTGGATCAGTCAGTCCTCCGTACCAGCTCGCACCTGCATCGGCCAGTGAATCCAAGAGTTTATTACTCGAGCAAACATGTGCTAGAAAACATTTCTAGATCAAATAAACTAAATATTCTCTATCAAACCTGTTTATTTGACAGGGGTGACCACAGTTCTTACCATGACCACACTAATGATGGGTGCGAGGACCTCACTTCCTAATGCCAACTGCTTCATTAAGGCTATTGACGTCTATCTCGGCATCTGTTTCACCTTCATCTTTGGTGCTCTGCTGGAATATGCCTGCGCTCATTTCTGCACCATGCAGCACCAGACCATTGTAGATGTGCAAAGGGTGAGAAACCTGTGGATAGTGCTTAAATATGACTACTTGGTTTTTTTTTTCTACTAATTAATTACCTTTTTAAACTAACTTTTCATAGGAACTACTCAGAGAATTCGATGAGTCAAATGGTGCGGCTCACTTGGTCAATTCAATGTCACCAAAAAAGATGCAGAAGGTAGACTCCACTCAGCAGGAGACGCCAGAGCAATCTGTGGCATGTGAAGGGGATGAGGCAGTGGACAAGACACAAGAGAAGGGGTGCGGTTTATCCTCTGTAAAGCAAATGTCTCATCGAGCAGCATCCATGATGAGTGTCGAGAATCCTCACAACATCGACAGACACTCAAGGACACTGTTCCCTATGGCATTTCTCCTCGTCAATATCTTCTACTGGCTCTATTACCTTTTGTTCTAACGGACTAAAACCTCGACCTCCTATCTCCTTAAACAAAGTATTACACAAATGACTGAAAAAGTGAAAAGACTGTTGACTACCCATCAACTCCAGGTTGAATAGTGCCCTATAACACTGAGCTGGACTTTTACATGGTTCACTGTTGCATTGAAGCAAGTGTTTCTACGCAACAGTGAAAATTAAGATTACATGAACACACATAAATCACAATAAGGACACATCTGCGATAGGACACAAAGATGGACACTGTTGTAGTATCCAGTCTTATTTCTTTAAAGGGGTCATATTATGCTTTTTTACCACTTTTACAACTTTATTTGTGTGTAATGCTGCTGTTTGAGCATTAAAAAGATCTGCAAGGTTACAAAACTCAAAGTCCACCCCAAAGGGAGATATTTTATTTAACAGAATCCCATTTACAAGAACTACAACGAATGGCTCGTTTGGACTACAGCGCAATTTTTCCGGATCTTATAAAGACATAATGTTCTCTTGTTATAGTTTATGGAAAACAGCTTTTTTTTTTTTTTTTTTTTCTAAGACGCTTCACCACTCCTTGGGTACATTTTGATTTTGATTAGTTACTGTCTGTTTTATCTTAGTTTTCCGACAAATATCTCAATTAAATGGTGGATAGTATTGTATATATTATGTATAAGAAAAAACAAATCTCATCATAGAAAAAATATACCGCTCTGAAATGCCTGTGAAACCTCTGCTTGCAAAGTATGTGCATGAAATCTGTTCTGCATGTTCGTTAACATTGTCAGGGTCTGAATCGGGCTCGAATTTGACGCCATCCTTAAAGCTACACTGTGTAACTCTTTTAGTTTATTCTTAGCTAAAAACACTTAGTTCTTTAAAAAAATATATGTGCAAATTAATGTATATTTACTTCGTTCAAGTAAAGTATTCTAGTGAGTGTATAATATGCCATTGAAAATACATACGGGTAGGGGGTTCTAATGTCGGTCGCCATGTTGCACCTCCATCTTGAAAGTACATTAGCCGAAAGAGGGACATACCCGTTAATTCAAGCTTCGCCTTTTGCGTTTACATTTGAGTTAACACTCATGGACGAAGTCGAACTGGAAGCCATGTTAGTCTTGGACTACATTGGCCACCGTAGGAGTTAAAACAAAATCGGAATTGAGATGAACAGAAACTAATATTCACTGGATGGTCATATACTTTTTCACCGATAGATGGGGGTAAAAATCACACAGTGTAGCTTTATTTACACTAGAGAAGAACTTGCAGTTATGGAGGAGCGGGACATTTCCCGAACACACACTAAGCGCTGTCAATCAAAACACACTTGGCCAGCTAACCAATCATAGCATATTTCGTATTTTGGAAGAAAGGGGTTCATCGAAATCGGCGTGTTGGAGCCAGATTGGAGAGAGGTGTTGTGATAATGTAAAATAGCCTATGTGAAAAATAACGCGGTTTTTGAACATTCAAGCATAAAAGTATATTCTAGTACACAGCACCCCAAAAACAAAATCAAAACTTCATAAAAGGGCATAATAAGACCCCTTTAAGCAATTGATTTTACATTGCTGGTTTATAAGGTTTCAATGCTTCACCTGTTTTTTTTTTTTTTGTTTGTTTTTTCTTCTTGCTTTGAAAATGTAATGCGCTGTAGGGATGTTGTAAACTTCATGCAATGAATGAGAATATTAAATGCCATAAGTAAAACCAATACTGGTCAATGTATGCATGTATGTACAATGGGGTCTATAAGTTTGCAATATTCCATATTGTAAAACTGAAATTCAAATCTGGAAAAAAAGTTAATTAAAAAAGTAAAAAATAAACTTTTTAAGGTGAAATATATCAAAAATATGTAAGATTCTGGAATATTTCTAGGGCACAATTCAAACTTATAATTCAAACAAACAATTTAACATGTTTCATATAGTATAGCTAACCAAAGGCTAATATTAAAATTAAACATTTCTCATTCTTAGTGTTTTTCAAGATAGCTTAAATAGTAGCATAGCATAGGCTACAGCTATCTGAAATGATTAGAGATATGTTTCGATAAAAACTTTGATTACAAATAGGATACAAGAATATATATATATATATATATATATATATATATATATATTTTTTAAGAATTAATTATAACATCATGGCATGCTTGTAATTAAAACTATATGCCTTATTGCTTAATAACAATTAACTTGTTGCAAAACATAACTTGAAATGCAATGTCACAAACTATATAAATAATCAGGATAAAAATAAAATATTATTACATGAATTAAAGTTTGATTGACTGTCCATATGACTCCATTGCTTTACTCAGTCAAGCCAACAGGTGGCAATGTCGTGCTAAAGCATTAATCTAACAGCATCCTTTGGTCAGAGAGGAAAATCTATCGGCCAATGAGGAAGCTGGTTGCCTTTTAAAACTCAGCCGGGAAACTCGGAACCAAAACAAACGACTTTTTTTTGCTCGTGTACGGATAAATACAGAGAAAAGGTAGGTACTCAACACCGTCTCGTTAGAGGCTGTATTTAATTTCGACTGGTATGATTTAGATTTTAGAAAGACTAAAGGTTAGTTTATCTGGCGATAATATTGATAAAACCCGCGTGTCACTTTTAAAACGTAAAACGAAATTGCCCAGGCTTAACGTTAACTGTTTTGTTACAAATCACAAACGTCATTACTTCAACCGAACAAGTTGCCTTTGATTGTCTTGCTATTAAGTGAGTGTAGTTTGTATCTTGAAGCTGTCGTGTTTCTTTAACTAACTTAGTCTCTGTCAACGCTGTGCTAAGCTAACTTGCAGATATGGACACCATGATGATTTACCTGGATCAGGAGAACGGCAGATTGACCACTCCATCCATCAAATCTCGCTCGAACAGACTGCATTCAGCTCCAGGTCAGGAACGTTACCAATGCTCAGACACCAACAATTCGTTTTGTACCAGAACCATAAATGCCGGGTGTCAATTTTTTGCTAACTTTTTCAGATCAGTGCTTGAGAACACCTCTGGTAGGAAAAACTCGTCTCGGAGCTCCTCTGCAATCCAACCGAAAAGCTTTGGGAGTCATAAATAAGGTTGTTGCCACCCCAGCAGCCTCTCTTAAGGCAGAGGAGAAAACCAAACCTGCAGAGTCCAAGGTTGTTTTCTTGAGATTGATGGCTTCTTTCCTACATCGACAACTATTGAAATCATTTGTCGGTTGATTAACGTTAAATGCGTGTTTCATCAGTGTAAGGTGCTTGCACAGCCTGTTGGTGAGGAGTTGCCAGAGATTGAGAAGTGTTTCCCGTACAATCCAAGTGGTAAGCCTGTCTGCTGCTTTATGGCATTGGAACTGAATTCCCTTGGTGCCAGGCAGCTGTTGATTCTGTCCTGTTAAATGTGTAGAGTTTGAGACCTACAGTGTTCCAGATGAAGTCTACCTCAGTGGGTTCTCTCTGGCTGGTTTGGCTAAACCGGCGTGGCCGCCTGCTTCACCTGCTATGGAAGAGCTTATTGTGGATCCGTGTTTGCCACTCTCACCTTTAAAGATACCCAGTGGTAATGACTATAGTTTGATGCAGTTTAAACTTTAAATGCAAAATATTTGTATGCCCAATTAAGCTTAATTCTTTGTTCTCTAATGCAGCACTGGAATATGCTGATGAAATGGAGGCCTTCCTACAGACGATAAATGAGCTGACTGTTGACTTGCCACCTGAGTGTGAATTTTAAACCTTTTTTGTGTGAATGTTGTATAGTTTGTTTTTTTAACTGTTATTAAACTTTTTCTAAAATTCCTGTTCAAAGGGATCTGTTACTCTGACTAAAGGTTGTTTTTTTTTTTTTATTTTTTTTTTTTTTAAATTGTCTAAATTGAGAGCTTTTTCTCTTGATCACCAATGTTCAGATCTCAGTAAAGAAGTAATTTTGTTCATTAAATATTATATATCATTTGACAGTCCTCTTGTGATATTTTTGTGAATCTTCTAAGGAAATGTCAGGATCTGCAATGGCTTTTATTGGCTTCCTGGATTTTTCTATATTCAAGTGAAACAGGTGGTCTATCAGGATATGGATAGTATATATTATACACCATAATGTTAATGCGGCTATACAATGAGGTCTCAGTTAACATGATTGTGTAAATGTTATCTAATGTTTGTGTTTATATTAACAATTTTTTTTTTTTTTAAATGTAAATGTGGAAGGTAAATGTGTCAGAACCTGACTCCACCCACCGGCAATATTTGAAAAGTGGGCGGAGCACCACATATGCATATTTTTATATTTATGAGTGACTGTTCAATGCCCTGTTCTTGGAAACCGGGACATTTTTGGCTGGCTTGTATAAAGTCTAGCAGTAAAACACACATTTTTTTTGTTTCCAATTGATAATTATTTTGGCAAAGATACATTTTCTCTTTATTAAAAGAATATTCCCATGTCCAAAGACATTTAAAGTGCAAATGTTACTCACATTAAAAGATGAATAAGAAATGGGGGAGGGATACAAACAAGAGTATCAGTTAGATACTATGAAGCTAGATTTAAAAAGAATGTTAATATATATATATACAATTTTCAAATATACATTGTTATTAGCAACGCTTGGTTAAGAGCTGAATTTACCGCAGAAGTAATTGCAATGGAGTGAAGAAAAAAAACAAAAACAACGCTGTACAAATCAGTTGTCATGCCTCTTTTAAATTTAAGAGTTTTCAAAGTGGATTGTCTAACATGCATTTCCATCCTTGCTTCTTTTATAACTTAACCACAACTCTTTCTTGCACTTTCAGCCCACAAACTTATTTCATCATACCCTTTCAATCCCTCAACACTGATGCCATTTTGTGCTTGTCACATGGAACTTCACAAGACACATGAAGAAGACATCACTTGGCTGTAAAGTATTAGAATAAAGCTGGTGCTTTGTGATTCTAACTCCACTGTAAAGTTCAAAAAGTGGCAGTCACCATAGAGTTGCATATACAGTAGTCTGTGTTGGTGCAAGTCCTCATATTAATCGTAAATCTTCCTGGTCAACGGTTTCTCTAAGTCCCCTTCTTAGATTCCCATTCCTGGTTAAAAACAAAGCATTATTGTTCAAGTTACACATACGGGCATATTTGTGACATAACATAATATGATCTTTATAGCAGGGCCCTAAAGTGATCGATGAAATTCATTAGAGACTGACTATTTAGAAATGTGATCCCTATTGATGCAGCAAGCTGTTGTGTTTGTATTATCTGTTTTTTGATGCATTGCACTAGATAATGTTGTGACCACTGATGGGTTTACCTTGGCTTTCTGCATAACATTTCCTTTTGTGGATGCATAGATGGAGGGAGGGCGCTTACGCATTTCAGAGGCGCAGTTGACAGGGAGAAACGACTCAATATACTGAGTCTCTGTCCTTTGAGTCTTTGAGGAAAGAAGGAAGCATATTTAACATCAGACAATCCTTTAGATTAAACTATTCGTTCTAATTTTTGCCCAGTACCTTGTTTGTAGGTTTAGACTCTGTAGGCGTACTAGGCGCCTCCATTTCTCCACCAGCCAGAGATTTCTTCAGGTTCTCCTTCACCTGCGTGAGCCTGAGCTCTAGATCCACACGCTCACCCTCTTTCACCCGGCAGCGGTCCTCCAACTGGACGACACACTCCTCTAAAGCTAACCTCTGCTTATCTGCACAATAATAGATCATTACATTTACATACGTGTTTCTGGCTGATCCATTTTGACCACATATACATAAGGACACTAGTTGAGTAAGAGGAAACAAATCACTACAACTGTAGTGCTAGGGCAGCACAAAATGGGAATTTATTATTTATTAGAATCAAGTGTGCAAATGCAATTTAAAATGTGAGATTTTTATTTTTGAAGAGCACCGATTGTGCTGTGCTTGTAGGTGCTGCACAATTTGGTAAAAAAAAAGAAAAAAAATGTGATTACAAATCAACACGACTATTATTATTACTAATAATATTAAACAAAATAATAAATATTAGTATTGTAACAATAATACTTTTCACAGTAAAAGAATATAAAAAAATCTTTATTTTATTTTAAAATCTACAATTCTAATATTTATAGTTTATTTAAATATTACAATTACAATTTATAATTACAATTTATTTGCGATTTTATAGTCGCACAAAGCCATATCACAAATTTAGTTTTATTTTGATTAATCATATAGCTTTATCATTAGAATAAATCAAATGTTTTGTGTTATGTTAATGGGGCTGGTACCCTCTCAGATAATAGTTTATTACACTATGAATCATCTAAATATGTATACATTGTAAAAAAAAAAAAGGACATGTTTCACAAAGTTAAACTGAAGCAGCAAGCATTAAAAACCTATTTTGCTAGTAAAAGTGGCCCTAAATTCACTTATTTTGAAAAGAAACCAACTACTGTGGAATAATACCTCTCTATTATCGCATAAAATAGAGAGGAAAGATTTCTTTCTCACCCGTTGCACCTTTCATTTTCTCCTTTGCGTCTCGTTTTTTCTTCCGCAGTAAGACTAGTGCACTTCTGATACTGTCTATTTCTGTCTCCAGGTCTTCTTTTTCTTTCAAGAAGCGACGTGCATCCTCCTGTGCCCGCGTTTTCCCATACCTCCCGTATTGATTTGCATCTGAAATGTCAAGTAAAGTTCAAAGATCAGACCCTAGAAGTCTGCGGGAAGGTGGCAAAGCTCTTAGCATTTCTTTGGTGAGAGAATGAGTGTGAAAATGCAGAGCCGTAGATCAAACCAAAATGTCTTAAGCTCAGGTTACATTATACTGACTGCTTTTGATGTGACAGCGCGAGAACTTTTCAAAATGGCCAAAATAAGGTTAAGCAGTCAGCAGGCTGCTAATAAAAACTTAAAACCATCTATTCTTTATGTTAAAGAGAACGCTGGATCTAACAGCTGTGTTTGTTAGGAGCAAGACCAGCACGGTGCAGAGTGTGACGGTACTCACTGGAGCCGTGGCGCTTTAGGGTGACTTGTGGACTGGGCTTTCCTGTGTCACTGCTGGAGAAAGAAGAACGACGCTTTGTTTGTGCTCCTCCCCTCAACCTCTCATGTCCCTGCTGAAGAAAAGAAGTGTACCAAGTCAGATATTGTCTATATAAACTACTGCATGCTGTTTCACATAGGTCAATCCACAAAACGAATGCGATTTTTGTTCCTCATATACCCAATGTGTAACAAATGATTGACAATGAATAGCTTATGCTAATTGTGTTTTTATAAACACGCCAATAAAATCCACAAACTGATGAAAAAATTGAAATAAATGGTAGCATTTAGTCTTTATGCACATCCATCCATAAAAATAATCCATATGACTCCAGTGGGTTAATAAATACATGGCTAATTCTGGTACATTTACAGGGATGTTTTATTAATGACAATGTCCCTGTCAAACTAAAAAAAAAAAAAGAAAAGAAAAAGAAACAAACATTCTGTAGCGAAGCAATGGGTTTTTGGCCGTACTTGAGAGAGTCCAGTCCTGGCGGAAGGATGAGCTCTGACCCGATGTATGGTGTAGGACTTAAGACTTATGACATAGAATGTATGTTGTAGAATGTATAACATTGGTCTTATAGCGTAGGATGTATGACGCAGGACTTATGACGTAGGAGTTATGATGTAGGATGTATGTCGTAGGACCTTTGACATAGTAGTTATGACGTGGAGTTTTGACATAGAATGTATCCGTAGGATGTATGACGTAGGTATAGCATAAGCTGAGAACTGCTGAACCCTGAAGCGAAAAGGATAGAGCAAAACAAAATGGCGATTACGCATAAGTAATTCGAAAAAATGTAGGAGGATTTCGATGTAAGAAAAGAGCTACGTCCTACGTTGGATCAGAGGTCCCCCTTCTGCCGGAACTCCAATCTCTCGTGAGTGATCACGCGTACGGCCGTTGCCAGAAGTCAGTATAGTTTCTTTAAAATATGGATATTTTTCTTACAAAAACCCATGCTTCACTTAAGAAGGCATCTATTAACCCACTAGAGTCGTTTAGATTACTTTTTATGATGGATGAATATGCTTTTTAAGCTTCAAAAACTAGGGCACTACACAATGCAATTACAAAGCTTGGAAGATTTTTTAATATAATTCCAATTGTGTTCAGCTTGGAAAAAAAAAGAGTCATAAAACCTAGGATGGCTTGAGGTTTGAGTAAATTATGGGATAATTTCTTTCTTTTTTTCTCATAATTTTACTGATTGACTTGAGATGCAGTATTACAATATTGCATAATGCAATATGACATTTTAAACAGAATGATACAAAAACAACTGAAGGAGTTTTTTTGTTTTGTTTTTTATTAGATTTTTTTTTTTTTTTTTAAATGCAATTTAAAAAATCTCCTGAATTAAGGAGATTTTAGAAAAATGTACTATTTTAGTATAGTGTATGCCCTGATCACACAAGTTGAGGCACGCACAGATGGAGGGAACTGATGTTTCTGTGCGGGTGTCCGAAGGTTCAGCACAGGTTTAACAAGCCACTCGGAGGCCAGAGGCCATGACGACTAAACCTGCTCTAACCCCTGACTTCTCACCTTTTTATTAAAGACCAGTCAGGACACATGGATATAAAGAAGACTTTTCTTCAAAGAAAATAACATTTTTAAATCAGATAATGTCTCCACTCGTGTTGTTTACACTTAATGTTTGTGTATGATGCAGGCACACGAGTGTTGGGAATTTTCTTGTGTGCGACCACAAACCTCTATGGCTTCAAAAGGGACCTCATCATATGTTCGTGAATCAGTGGAGGTTGCCCATCTAAATAAACAGGAAAAGAAATAAGAACAGTTAAGGTAGTCAAAACAACATGATGACCTGGTCTATAACTCCACCCCTCACCACATTAACCCTTAACTCACAGGAAAGAATGACGGGCAGCCGTGCGGATGTTGGCGATAG